AATATGCAGGGAGATGTCTGAGTGTAAAACCACATATTGGCAAACTTCTGCCATGCCAAAGTGCCCCAGAACATGGCACCAAGTCTTAGCCCGCTCAACCTGACCTCTAAAAAGAAACAAGAAAAAATTAGACTTTTTATTTGGAAATTGTTTAGAGGTTTTATACTTAAACTTAAACTATCATTTTAGAACTGGGGGAGAATGGGTCGTGGGTGTTTTCATGAACAAAAAGGGCACAGGTTGGGTGTAACATCATTAAATAGGTCAATTAAAATGCAACTGTCCTCTTTTCCAAGCTCTCCAGTTGGCTGTTATATATATGTTCCTCTTACCTAACATGGTTCTGCAAATTCTTTATATTACAGCTTTGGAGGGAGAAGTTTCCATTTCAAACCACAACAGTCAGCAAATTCCAGGCATCTGTGAATGTACCGAGCTCACGCTTGTTCGCTCTTCATCTGCCTGAGCTGGCATGGATTCAAACTGGCCCTTGTAACCTCAGTTAGATAAGAAGGAGGCTGTGCCAGTCTGCCCTGCTCAGCCTCTTGTTCTCACAGGTTATAATGAAAGCAAAGGCATTTTTTTCCCTGATAACTTCCATTGTTCTTTGATGTGGATAGAAGAGGATGCTTTTTATCCTGGCAGCTTTTTCAAAGAAACCTTCGATGTTCATCCTGAGAGGAATGTTGCTTGAGGCATTACTCAAGTTTTCTTTTTTTCTTTCTTTTTTTTTTTTGGTGTGTTTCTCATTCTGGACACTCTCATTCAGACTGAACAAAGGACTCCAAGGGTTCAAGCATTCCAGGAGGCTCTTGTCTCCTTTTTGAGACATTGAAGTCAAACAAACTCCTAATCCCTCCACACCCTTATAGGTGATTGACGGGAATTTCATCTGTGACTTTTAACATGAGCAAGGTTAGAAAACACAAATACGGATCACAGGCAACTTGCAACAGTCTAAACACTTCATCCGAGATAGAAATTCAGTTGGTCATAGAAATATGTAGCCTTTCTTCAATATTTATGTCAGAACTTGTGGTGCCCCGATGTTGAATCCTTCGTGGGGCTGCTCTCGCATGCATGAGGCTGATGATGAAATATTTCAGGTATCAGGTATAAATGTGCCTCTTTTTGTCCTTTACATAACCATTTTTCACCAGTTATCTTTCTTTTTTCCTTTACTTAACCAGGCAAAGTCTTATTAAGAGACACCTGGCCATGAAGGTAGCACGAAAACATTGTTTAAACAATAATACAAACAACATTAACAGAATAAGACAACTTTTTCGAACCGCAAAAGTCCACACATAATGTACTGTTAGGCTGCATAGAGGTATGACAATAGTGGGATTAATATTTATCAAAATAGGAACAAAATAATGCATAATGTATTTGGTAGCAAACAATGTAATGCATTGCTTGAATAGTATATAGTAGTTCCCAGAATAGGACATGTAATTAAGCCATGACCCACCCTACACATTTTGTATTTGTAATGTTTTATCACATAGACATTTCAGGAACTGGTTTACTTCATGGTACAAGAATAATTTCTGGTCCCACTTCATGATTATATAACAGATATGAAAATGATAATTGAATTGTAGAGAATGTCCTGAAAGAATGGAAGTTAGACTGGGTGGTTCTTGGCTAGCTGAGTGAGAGGAGAGGAGAGGAGAGGAGAGGAGAGGAGAGGGGGGGAGCTTCTTATGGGCTTATGGGAGGACGCGTGGAGAAGCATTCCTCTCATAGTTTCGGGACACCTCTTCAGCCTGCGCATACGTCAGATCTGCTGGGAGTGTATAAAAGGAGATGGGAACTCCAAAAGAGGGAGAGCAAGCACTCCTCAACTCACTGCCAGGTCTGGTGTTTGATAGAGAGAAGGTTTTTTTACTCAGGAAAGAAAACTTGCGAAGATGTGGAAAGTTTCTGTCGTTGTGATCCTCTGCGTTACACTGGTGAGGAAACAGTCACTGTTCATTCATAGGCTGCCTGTTTATCTGGTATAAGAGGATCCTGTTTAGAATCAAAGTTTTGATTAGAAATGTCTAATGTCGTGTTTTATCTTAGGTGTCAGCGTCGTGCCCGCAGGACTGTCAGTGTCCCCCTGACACCCCCAGATGTGCAGCAGGAGTCAGTGTCATGCTGGACGGCTGTGGATGCTGTAAAGTTTGTGCACGACAGCTCTTTGAGGACTGCAGCAAGGCACTGCCATGTGACCACACAAAGGGACTGGAGTGTAACTTTGGAGGGAGATATGGCTCTGCTAAGGGCATCTGTCGAGGTACAGTGACTTTCTCTTCTTCTCTCTTCTCAGTTTTTTTATGCATTTGCTCACTTCACTCTTCTGAGTTCAAAACCTCACAACCTTTCTTTGTTTTTCTCTCAAACAGCCAAAGCTGACGGGAGAACTTGTGAGTACAACAACAAGATTTACCAGAATGGGGAAATCTTCCGTCCAAACTGCAAACACCAGTGCACTTGTATGGACGGTGCTGTTGGATGTGTCTCCCTCTGCCCACATGAGCTCACTCTGCCCAAACTGGGCTGTGTCAAGCCCAAGCGGGTCAAGGTGCCAGGGCGGTGCTGTGAACAACTCGTCTGCCCCGAGGAGGCAAAGACAGAGAGCTCGCTGGTGAAGAAACACATAAAAAAGCACAGCAAAGACAGCAGACCATCCGAAGACGACCTTACCAACAGGAGTGAGTTGGCTCCTGTGTGGAGAGGAGACTCAAAGTCTTTACCTGGTGAGCAGTTACACAGTGTCCTTTTCTGGTTATATCTGCAGCCAGATTTAAAGAAATGTGTGTTAAATTACAAACGTAGCTGCATGTGCTTGAGATGTCTTGATTTTTCCATGTGCTTGAGATGTCTTGATTTTTCCATGTGCTTGAGATGTCCTAATTTTTCTTTTCTAAACCTCTTCTTTTTTTTTCTCTGTGCAGCTTTCAGGAGCCACCCAATGTGCGTGTCTCAAACCACAGCTTGGTCGCCTTGCTCCAAATCCTGTGGCACTGGAGTGTCCACCAGGGTGACCAACAGCAACACCAAGTGCAAACTGGTGAAAGAGACTCGGATCTGTGAAATCCGCCCATGCAACCACACGCCCTCTACCACATTAAAGGTACCTTACACACTTTTATAAGCCTGATTTTTAGCATGATTTACAGATACATTTTGATCATTGGTCTGTAACCTTAATCATAAATGACACTTTTAACACTTTTGATGTCTCCTCTCTAACAGAAAGGTCAGAAATGCAACCACACAGAAAAGGCCATCCGTCCAGTTAAACTGTCCTACGCAGGCTGCCGTAGCCTGAAAAAGTTCCAGCCAAGTTACTGCGGGTCCTGCTCAGACGGGCAATGCTGCAGGCCTCACCGAACCCAGACGTCGTCCGTCCGCTTCCGATGCAGAAATGGCGAGATCATCAGCAGGATGGTGATGATGATTGAGTCTTGCAAGTGTAACACTGACTGCTCCGGCAGCAACAAAAAGACCGCCGCCCACTACAGACTTTTTAATGATATCCACAAACTGAGAATGTAAAAGCTCTGAATTAAAGTTGAAAAGAAGGCCCTTAAAGTGTCATAGAAAAATAGACACTTTGAGGTTGCAGACATCTGTAGGATGAATTTCTTGAACTATATTGTTCATGATTTTGCTTCATAACATTGGAGCCTCGTGGTTTGTTTCTTTTTGAAGCAATTTTTTTACATTGTGAAAATTCTTGTTTTCTAGTTAAACCAAAATGTGTTTTCCAATTTTATTTTAAATAATAATTCACATATTTAAGCCTCTCTTGACAAGACATGTCACATGACAACATGGAAATGACACAAAATCTATGGCAGCTACTAAATCAAAGTCATTACACACATGTCGCTATGTTTCTGTTGATCTACTGTACTTATTCATTTTATTTATAAGGAATAATATTTCATACTTCACTTAATGCATTGTTAGATGTAATTATGGGATATTCTACGATAATATGGGTTTAACATGTGTTGGAATATGACTGAAGACTGGAAATATACTGTACCATATGTAAGTTGGTCAATTGACTGCCAAGTTTGCAATTTTATGTTTTAATTTTTCACAAATAAACACATAAAACGATGCAGTTTTCCAATTATTCTGTACACAGAAGCACAGTAAAGTTTGGGTCTTGCAATAATCTGCAAAACTGACATTCTCAGGGGGGTCTGTTGTAACAGTTTTCAGTAGGAAATGAGCTCTACTGTTTCAACTGCATCTGGCTGACCCACTTCTGAGAGGACCTACATGTCACTGCATAGTTTAGGGAATGAGTGTAATGTAAACTACAGAGTGGTTTTCCTGCTGTTGGACAGATGCTGGGCGCAAGACGCAGACTTTTCTTTTATAAAAAAAACATTATAGGGTATATGGAGAATAATCTAAATGTTCCACAGAGAGATATTATATGTAACAGTACAATCCCTCATGTGCAATCCTGGATCTTAAATATGTTGCTCCTGATAATGAATGCCATGCACATTATGAGTAATATAATATAATATCACCCCTTTCCCTTCTAAAGTTTGACAAGTATGACTATTAAGGGATTATTTTTCCATCCAAAAGAGTTGATACATCAGTTAGCCAACCATATGTGACCTTCAGAAAAACCTTTTAATATGTGCAAAAGTGAACAGTGCCTCTGTTTGTTTTCGATAACTGGCCCAACAAAACAAAAAAGAAGAGAGACAAATGGGTCATCCAATTCATTTGAGTCTAAAAAGGACATAAACTCAGGGTGTGTCAATCAGGGTGCTGAATCGTGATACCAACCAAATTGCAAGAAGTCAGATGTAAGCTTATTTTCCAGCAAATAGCAGAGAAAAACAAATTCCCAAAGTGTGCATAGAATTACGTAAACGGGCAGGACCACGAGAGCGAGAACAAGAGCAAAGGAAAAACAGGGGTACTGACGCACACAGAGATGAACTGGTTCCATCCCCTGACGGAGAGCACAATAGAGCTTTGTCTCTGAGAACTTGAGAGGAGCACTGCTCATTCAGGGGGAATACGTCCACAGCAAGGACACATCAGAGCCTGGACGCGGGTCTGGACTCATGGTAGTTTATTACCATAGATACAGTACAGTATGGGACCACAAGCAACAACAACAACAGTACAAGACAAACATAGTTGAGTTTTTAGGTAAATGCAGCAGATACCTGTGCTCTATGTAAAAATATCCATTACAAAAGCACGCCAAGCAAACCAGCAAGAGAGTTTAAAGTGGTTTGGAAATAGCCCAGTGTTCCATGTAGCTCAGTAATTATGTTTGCAACCCTAAAGGCATGAGCTTCACAGCTGACAGCTAAACAATTGATCCTCAGCATCATTCATCTCAGTCCAGCTGAGGATAAACACATTCAATATACCTCACATTTTCTTTTAGGATCACAAAAAAACAACAACACACGCTTGTTTTCAGAGCATATTTCACATTTAAACGGAGCACCGTGGAAAGCGTGGTTTATTCGACCACGGGTAAACTTGGCAAGGATATTCGCAACAACATAATATTTGGTTTTCAAGCACTACTTTACCTACTGGTCAACAATTACTTTCATAATTAGCTGTATGTAACTTCAAAATATGACAAAAAAAAAAAAAGTTTGATCTGGAGCCGGTTGCACAAAGATAGACCTGGGTCTTACTTTGTATGTTGCATAGAGCTCATTTAGTAGTGACTAAGGTAAGATGTAATGACTAAGCGGCCAATGCATTATGGGTAAAATGAAACACTTAAAGCAAAAACTTAAGCTAACAAAACAGTTCCACCTAGTGGCACATTACTTTTCTCCAGCTGAAACCCCCTTTCATTTATTTATTTGATTAATAAATGTAGTTAATGAAATATCAGAAAATAGTTACTCAAAATATAATATTGCTTGATTTAGATTGCTTGTTTTATCTGACCAACAGTACAAAGCCCAAAGGTAAATACCAATAATAATATTTGTAAAGCTGCAACCACAGAATCAAATGAATTAATTAAACAATTAATCAATATTAAAAAGTGTAATTTTTCATAACAGATTTGCTGTTTTCTTAAAGCTCTCACAGCTCTTAAAATAAATGTATGCAACTGGCTTCGTGTCATATGGGAATAAGATACAGTAGCACCAAGAGTTCACAAATTTGCATACACGTGAAAATATTATGTAACGTCTCTCGGGACTGAAAACAGGTATCAAAACTTCAGCAGATTTCCCCGAAAAAAAAATCCCAGATTGTCAGCAAAATGTAGAAGTACATACCCAAACATAGCTCAAATATTTCAATATAAGCTTTCACTTCCTCTAAAAAAAGTGATAGAAATTCTCATTTTTAAATAGATCATATAAATATCACAGTACCCAAGAAAGAAAAAAATGAATTTTAAAATGCAAACTTATAAATCCTTAATCATTTTAGAAAATATGAGGATCCAAAATTTGATGTTGGCAGTCCCTCATCAAACATGGTTTTATAAGAGTTTTTGAGAAAATCAACGTAGTTCTGTATGCTTTGCTTGTGGCTCTCTGATTGGTCCAGGCTGAGCTGCAGGTCCTTCAGGCGCACCTCAAACTGTTTCTCCGCCTGCAGATGAAAATACACCTCAGATATCAACACATCTCAGGTTGAATCAAAGATGAATTGAGTACAATCTGAGCGCTTTCAATGACATTCAGTTTAATGATATACTCAAGAGAAGCGTGAGACTCACAGTGAGCTTGCTCTGGCGAAGAAGCCTCAGCTCATTATCCCGTCTGCACTTCTCAGCTTCCAGCTCGAGGATTTTGGTCTGAAGGGTCTCGTCTCTGGAAACAGCCTGGTCTTTTACCTTGTTGACCTGGACAAGTGGAAAAGCTTCAAATTATCAAACAAAGTGAAACACAACGCTTCCTGTGCACCAGATCTTTATCTGGAAACACCTACAGCATCAAAGACTAAGACAATATTTGAGTTTTATCAGCTGGATGCGTAGGCTTGATTGAGCTGTATCGTATCAATCAGTAACAGATTCAATATTTCTTTATATGATGCCAGCTGGTTTACAGATTATATTTTATAGCAATCTGCTAGACAGAAACAAACCAACAAATACAAAAAGAGATCATGTAACAGGAGAAATACTTGATGCTTTGTTGATGATTGACAATCTTACTCAGATGTCGCTAGACTGTCTATGAGCTGTACCTGTTGTTTCACGTCTGATAAAGCCGCCTCCAGCTGCCGGCTGAGGGCCTGGCACTCTGACGAGCGCTGATCCAGCTGCCGGTTACTGTAGCCGAGTGCTTCCTCCTGAGCTGCGAGCCTCCGTACCAGCTCCAGGTTCTCCTGCTGCAGCTCTTCCATCTGCCTGCAAACACACACGTTAAACGATTTCTGTTACATTATTACAAAATAGATTTTTCGTCTGTCGTCAATTAGACAGACAGGTGAAACAAGACAAGATAGACCTTACACACTGTGACAGAAAAACAGTAACCAAACCCAAAACCCCCCCAAAACAAGGGTTAGGATAAAAGGATAAATTAAATGGGTACAGTGCAGCATAGGATTTAAGTGTGTCTTTGTTATGTGTGTGTGTGTGTAGGTGTGAGTGTATATGTAAGTGTTAAGGAGCAACAAGGCGGAGTGGTGTATTATCTGAGAAATGCAAAGAATAAGGAAAAGGAAGAGTGAGAAAAAAATTCAGACTAATTGACCAGGGAGAGAAAAAAAGAGAGAAATAAGTAAATACTGGGTAGGAATAGAAAATTACAGGGAGAAAAAAAAAAACCACAAAGGAAAGCAAAAAGCGTGAAGAGAGGGGAAGCACCTCACGATGTCCCGCATTCATCTGCTATTATTATTTACAAAAAATACAAAGTAGACATCTAAAGAACAAACAGGAGAGGATGTCTTACTTGTGGAGAGAATTCACTTTCTCGTGTAGTTGTAAATTGGCCTCGTGAATGGACTCTTTCATCTCCACATATGATGTGAGCAGTTTTGTCTGACTCTCCATCTGCAAATGTAAGATGTAAAAATTCAGAATCACCTGTTGGTTGCAAGTGAATGGAGCAGAAAGCAGGTTTCACATCACATGCAGAAGTGGATACAAGAACAGCCCATTTAAAAACGTCCAGTGTGTAACATTTAGGAGGATCGCCTTCAATGGAGGGTGCCATGTTGAACTGCCATGTTTCTACAGTAGCCCAGAATGGACAAAGCAAACTCTGTCTCAATTTTTAGTGGGCACTCTAGTTTTCCTTCACATTTGAAAGGGGAGGTTGAAGCAAGAGAGTTGCCATCTGCAATTACTAGATGCCACTAAATCCTACACACTGGTCTTTAATGCTATTAAAATGGGCAGTTTTAAACATTCAATCAATTCATCATTGCTGTAGAAACACGATGGTGATTGAAAAGGACACAACACAAGAACAATCACAAATGGGGCACATAAGGATGGTTGCAACCTAACTGATTCCACTGAAATCAGAGAATACTGAATCACAAACATCAACCAACTCACAGCAGGACCAAAAAACAAGATGCACATGGGGTTGTACTACCGCCTAGTGGTCGGATGTAGGAAAATGACGACATTTAACATCCTCTGACTGCCACAGCTCATGCTGCACACCTTAACCTGCAGTTGCCTAATGAACTCTGACTTTTCTGAGCACTTCCTCTCCGAGCGTCGCAGGTTCTCCTGGCACTCAAAGAGACTCTGCTCAGCTGCACTCAGTAACTCCGGGTAAAGCTTCAGTTCCTCCACTCGCTCCTGCAGCTCCTGCCTCGCCTGGGCTCCAGAGGACGGGGTGAGTGGGGTGTTGGGAATAGACAAAATGTTAGCCTAAGGATTCATCACACCTCTCAAAGAGATGCTCACAGATGCGTTTAATCCTTTAAGCGTGCAGAATGTGCAGAGATTCATCTTTAGACTGAGCTTTGGCAGTTGTTAGTCCAGTCCAGAGTTACTGTAAGAGGTTTAGTAGTTAGCAGGGCCACGTGCAAAACAAATGTTACGCAGCTGAAAAAGAAACATGACTAACTAGCCATTCAACAGCAGGAGGAACAGCGCTGCAGAGCTGAAAATACTAGAAAAAGCACAAGAGTACTGTTAGAATTAGAGTTCAGAACTTTTATAAAATATAGGAAAATGTTAGGTTACCTTCTCAACTTCGTTATCTTTTCCATCTCGTGTCTTCTCTACCTCTCTTAGAATGTTTTTATATTTAATCCTCAGATCATCAATCTCAGCTTGAAGCTCTGCAACCTTGAAAAAAAACACAAAATATTCTAGTGTTACTACTGGTGTAATTCAAAGGCTTGTTAGAATGAGCTGATATAATAACTGCGATTGTCTTCTTTTTTGTAAAACACTTTTAAAAAAACACTACATAAATGATAAAACAACAGTGAAAAATCAGAAGCGCAAAAACATGACTAATTTATGGTGAACAAAGGAAGAAAGGATAAAAGGATTAACAGTCTGTATTCTTAAAACTTGTTTGTGTTCCCAGTACAGATGTCCAATGCTTTCTTTGCCACAGTGTTTATAATCTATTCCGAAAATAGACCAATATACACCTAAAAAAAAAAACGTAATATTTTCTTTGAAAAATGACAGCAATTAATATCCCATCTGCTGAGGGAACCCTAATCTTTCAACTTCTAAAAATAAATAAAAGAAAAAAGTGACAAGTATAATTAATGAGCAGATGTCAACCTGATATTGGCACTGTTCGGCCTGAAGCTTCCTCTCCTGGGACACAACCGTCTCCTCCACCAGGGCAGACTCACAATCAGCCAGCTGCTGCTCCAACTGGGCTACAGATGCCTCCAGTCACACAAACATCAAAACAAATTTAGTGACAGAAATAAAAATCTAAAAGAGATAAAGTGTGTCTTAAGAATATAGAATATATAGAATATAACAGAGGTGTACAAACCTCTGGCAAATATTACTAAAAAATGTTTATCTGTGAGCTGCCTGCAGACTACTAAACGGTTATATGAATAACCATGGACGACATATTTATGCAGCAAGTGTTTTACAGTAATGATTCTCATGTGCAAGCTGTTGGGCAACTTCTACCTTGAGCGCTGCATTATTGACGCTGAGGTCTCCATTTTCAGCACTGAGCTTTTCAACGCGTTGCATCACAGTTTCATTAGCTGCGCTGAGCTCGTCCTTCTCTGTCCGCAGCCTCGCCGTCAGGTCTGACACTTGACTTTATTGGAAGAAGTACACATTTAAAATGCATCAGTGAAAACTGGCAGTTTCCGTATGTGTGTGTATTGGTTTTGATGATAGAGATGGTAAGTGAGAAAGAGAAATGCCTGACCTTTGCAACAGCTCTATATGAGCTACAAGTCTGTCCGTCTCATCCGTTATCTGCTCCTTTTGCCGTCGCCTGGAGTCTCTTTCTGATCGGGCGCTGGCCAGCTGAGCATCCTGCATGCCAAAAAAAGAGAGGAAAGTCTAGAAAAATACACTTTTTTTTAAAACCAAAAGTCACAGCCAATATGACTTTATACCTTCTCTTTCATTTGCGCATAGCATTTCTCAATTGCAGCTTCAAATCTCTCAGCTCTCAGTTTCTGTGCTCTGGTTGCTTTCTTGAGAGATTCTTTGTCTTGCGCCGCCTTCTCAGTCAAAGAGGTGAAGGAGCCTTTGAGATCATCAATCTCCATCTTTTGCTCCGTTATGGTTCTCTCCAAAGTCTGGAAAAGACAGCACACCCATAAAGACATGCTATCATTTTTAATCTTTTAAGCAGTTTGTCCAGAAAGCGGTGCACTGATAAAGGAATTTGTACCCGTAGCTGTACAGTCAGACGATTGTTTTCGGCTTCCTTGTTCCGCAGCTGCCCCTGCAGGTGAGCACGAGTCGCCTCCACAGACTTGGTCATGTGAACTGCAGTCTTTATGTTCTCCTGTGACAACCATTACAGGCAGATTCTTTACAATGCACTCTGCATCCTTTGCATTGTTAAGCACATCTGTATGAAAAACTTCTGCTGTGCTCACCTGCTCCTCTCTCCGCAGATCCATCAGTTCCTCAACTTTCCTTTCTGTCTCACTCAAATCTCTTTTTAAGTGCTTTAGGAGAAAAGTGACAGTGATCAGTACATGGTTTGAGACTGGAATTTGCATAATTTAAGGTTTTATGCAAAAAAAGAGCAAACCGTTTCATACAGTGGATGCCTTAATGTCATATTTTTCATTATCATATTAATTCAGCAGAAAATAAAGCTATGTTAGGTGACAGCCTTGACATTAATTTGGCCAGCAGTTACCAATTGAACCGCTCCATTCAGTATACAGAACATAAGGTCCAGATTAACCCTTTCTCACAGACTAAATCTTCCACCAGGTTGCCACCTGTTAAGCACAAAGATTAACTCGCTTACACTTAAATTCACTGCATGAACTTTATCAAACACTCACCTCATTTTCAGTCTCAGCCTGTGTGATCTTCTTCAATAAGATGTCAATTTGGTGGTCAGCCTCAACTCGATTGGTCTTTACACACACAAGTTATTTAAAACATGTTAAAAGGACAATGAAAAAGCATTTATAATATGCATTTAAGTCAGAGTCTTTCATTTGCTCTCATCAACTTAAATTAATTACAGCACTACTGCTTATCTAGACCAATAACTAATCATCCCAGGCAATATAAAGGTATAAGTATTGTAACCAACCTCTGAATCTTGGAGCTGTTTCAGTTTCTGTCGAACAGACTTGTTTATTCGTCTAAAATCCTCCAACTTCTCCAGCAAAAGTCCTCTCTGCCTGGCAATTCGGCGCTTATCATTAGCGGACTGTCTCGAATCCTTAATTTTAAGAGAAAGAGAAGTTTGAACGGGTCATGAATGTCCAAATTATACTTTTCAAATAAATATTAATAGGTAAACTGTTTTAGTTTCCAACATGGAAGCCAACTTGATGCATGCAAAACTCCAACAAACATACAGCAAATTCATCCTCCATGGCATCTTTAAAAGACACAAGTTGTATGGCAGCAGAGTTGGCAGCTGCTTCTGCATCCATCAGTATTTTCAGGAAAGGGCTTTTTCCATCAAGGAAGTCTCCATGACTGAATCAAAAAGAGGAAGGAAATGCTTCAGATCAGTAAGGCCGTGACCCACCCACACAGAGATCAGGCTTCAGGCTCACATGTTGATGCACAGTAGGACCTCACCAGCTGATGTCAGTCTCTGGGGTTCTGGTGTGGAGACTGCTGCGTGCTCTGCTCCTTCTCCCCAGCTCATGAGAGCTAGCTAGATCTCCACAGCTCAGAGTGACATCCTCCCTGATGGAGCTGAAACCAAGGGGGGGACTCTGGAGCTCATCCTCTGGAGACATGCTTTCTTACTACTGACAGAACAACAACCAGTAGAAGTTATCGATAACATACAGAGGAGGACAGGAAGTTAGTTCATGACACGACTTTCAGCTCAGTACCGTGCATAGTGCACAGCATAGCTTGCACGTTACTATGAAGGACAGACTAGGTTGTCAAGCAAGCTAACTAAGCTTTACACAGACAGTCGACAGTAACAGGTTAAGTGATTGCTTAAGGTTTACGTTACGCCAAAGCCAGCAAGCATCCTGTTTATCCTACCAAGCAAAGCCGCTGCTATCTACAGTATGTATATGAGTAATAAAAACATAGCAATCCCTTATAAAACAATGCCACAGAAAACGTAAACATGACTTACGTTTTCACCTTGTACGGTTTGCGAACGCTGCTCCAACTCAAGAGCCCCACCCACCTCTTAAAAGGTCGAACCGGATTGGTTAGCGCTGAAGCAACGTCACGACACCGACTTATTTCCTCGCTGCTGATTTGTTCCCCCAGGGCAAAGTGGGCGGTACTAAGTTTGATTAAAGTCGCGAACAGCCAATGAGCAGCAGAAAGCAAGGGCACTGGTTGAAACCATAGAAACGAAAAGGAAGTGTATCTCAAAGTATGCTAGGGTAACACCGAGTTACGAAGATTATCAATATTGTTTTGTCACATTTCATTGTGTGGAAGTCAAAACCCAGCATAGCAGTGTTCAGATACATACTCAGATTAAAACTAAGATTTATTGACCTTGTTTTGGTGCCTTTTTTAGAGCTTCTTCAGTCGAAGATAGCAGGACAGCTAATGCTCGGCTTCTGTTGACGAGAAATGTCCAACGCAAAAATACTCTTTATTGGTCCCAATGAGGTACGTTAATGCCTTTCCCTCCACTGCAGATCGCCCTTTATTTTCACTGGCAGATGTCGATCAGTTAGATAACAGTTTGTGAACAGTGGAAGCGCACAAACATCTATGTTTAGCTCTATCAGAAACAGCTGTGTTTATATTTGTTCACTTGTTTTAGGTTTTCAGAGGTGGTCAGCTGTATATGTGTGTTTGTTAACTAAGAGGCGTGCAGTGGTGTTTACAGGACAATGCACTGCTACCTGTACACAAGTTGAGCTTCCTTAAGTGTTTTCATGTTATGCTACTTTATAATTTAACTTTTTACTACATTTCAGAGAGAAATGTATTGTATTTTCCATTTATACGACAGCTGTAGTTACTAATAGTGACATTGCAGGTTAATATGAAACATACATATATGATAATATATCACTTAAAGTTGTCATTCTGCCCGCATTATGAGTGCTTTTGCTTTTTATATTACTTCCTTAATACTTAAGTAAAACTGTATGTTGCATGGCAATATGCAAGGTGTTCAGCTGGTAAATAAAATTAGCCATGCTGCATGCACAGCCGAACTGAAATACAGCCTTTACTAAGGTTATTAAACGGCTTATTTAAAGGTTACACTCCTCCACTGCAAATACAAATGTACTGAAGTAAAAGCTGACAAGTTTATACTTCTTTCATAGCAGACATTGAGCTGTTGAAGCAGGACAAAGCTCAGGTGGAACTGATAACATTAGTGATGACTCAGAACCAGCATACTAGAGTCATATAAACATGTGCTTTCACCTGCTGCTGTGAAGGCTCATTAGCAGTAAAATTAACTTCTATATGAATAGAAGCTTAATGTAATAATAAAGAATAGCCCTTTTTCAGAGTGTTTATTAATGAACTGTCGATAAGCATTATCTTCGCATTGTAACTGATGACTATTCTAACACGTGTCTGTTTTTCAGAGTGGGAAAACGATTCTTGCCAATTATCTCTCAGACACAATAGAAAATGTGGGAAGTGAATACAGACCGACTCAAGGAGTAAGGTACAAACCCTGCGCCAACTTTTCTTCTTTCCACATGGTACAGTTTACCCGAACTCTGAGAAGATGTAAATGACACGATCTAACAGAATGATCGGAGCATCATTTTAAATTCAGTGTATAATCATTTAAAAGCAAATATTAAATCTATTTTGTATATATTTAGTATTCAAAAGCTAACCAGCTGTTTTCTACTCTTTCAAGGATAGTGGAATTTGAATCGCTACCTCAGGGCAGCGGTGACAACTCGCCATGTGAGGTTGAACTTTGGGACTGTTCAGGAGATTTCAAGTAAGTTAAATACAAACACATTTTCAGTGATTTCCATAATTGGTTTCCTGTTTGGTGTGTCGTACCCAGATGCAGACATACAATATATTCTCTTCACAGATTTGAATCATGCTGGCCTGCATTGATAAAGGACTCGAGCGGCGTGGTGATCGTTTTTAATCCTGACGTTCCAAGTCACCTCAAAGAAATAGAGACATGGCATTCAATGTTCATCTCCTCTCAAGGTTTCCACGACAACCAGTGTCTTCTCATAGCTCACCACAAGCCCGGCAGTGTAGTAGAAGACAGACGGCTGCCATTAGGTATTTCCACTGCAGGCCCGGCCTCCCGAAGCTATTGTATGAGTTATTATAATTATTTCTGAGCTAACATGTTCATTCTTCTTGATGCAGCCTCGCATTTGGGCAGACTGCCGATTATTCACTCCAACCTGGAGGAGGAACCGGAGGACGTGAGGAGAGCTTTCTGCAAATACTTGGGAAACGTTTTAAATACAATGTCGGAAAGTCGAGAGCGAGAGGAGATGTCTATCATTACATAGCAGCAACATCTATAAAATCTACAGCTTAATGAAGAAAGGTTTTGTTCATTTTTACAAGTCTTGTGAATAAAATATAACTTTGGAAATGAATGCTCAAGACACTAAAGATACTTATCCGACTGCAGACATCTGTTTATTTGAAAATTGTGGGCAGGTTTTTGAGAATGTGACAGTTAGAAGTGCCAAAGGAGAAAGAAAATACAATATTTAGACATCGTATCCAATAAGGCCTCCTTTGCCGATGCACTCGCCAATGTAGAGACCACATCAGCACCTCAGTGGCCACAAGTCCATTCCTGAAGGCATCCTACAACACAAAAACATGCACTTATTTAATGTCAGCGTCTAGAATTAGAGAGCAGTAGTTTATAATAGTTTATATTTAAAATGAGGCCTGACAATGTAACATGAAAGAGTAATTGTACAGCACAGAAATGAGTCCCTTCCCATGCATACAATTACCTGCTCAGTCAGTCACACACCAACTTATCTCGTCATGGATCCAGGTCAGTTTCCTTTTTGTAATTGTTAACTTTTGACACCGCCTACATCTTCACACAAATAACCTGTTTCTGTCATCTTTGAGTGTTTTTCCACTCATTTTTCCTTTGAACTAACTGAAAGGGCATTTAATCACCCTACACTGGCTGTTTATTCATGTGGCCCACACAGTTTACTTCTATTGTCTTGTAAAATTATCAGGTCATTTCTATTGTATATGCAGATAAACTCGAACATCAACTGGTGTATACAACACACTGCAGACTCAACATCTGAGCCAAGGGTCTAACCACGTATTGGCATCAGCCACATCCAGATATAATTACTGCCTTTTGCAAAATAACATTTTTGTGTATACAGTACACAGCAATTTCAGTCTGTTTTTGGGTTTGCAATTTCACAGTGTGGGACAATAGGACTTTGATAGTTGAATAAATGGCAAAACAAATGCCAATTAAAACTTCCCAGAGCCTGAGGCTGCATGTTCAAATAGCATCGTCTGTCCAACAGTCCAAAACTAAAAGATATCCATTTCATAATTATATGAAACAGAGGAAATGAGTAAATTGAATTAAAGTGAAATGTTGCTTGATAAATGCCTAGAGTGATTCAAAACAGCTATGCACCCTAACAGACCAAAAAGGTGTATTTCTACTCCCCAGAAGAAACTAAATATGCAGGTGCACCTTTTACATCAAAATCACTCACATATTGTTGATTTTTCAAAAGAAAGTTGTAAGGACTCACTTTTACTGTGGTTTGTCCCAGGCGTCCAGACTGGTAGCTCTTGACGAGCCCCTTTGCGGCCTCTATGGCTTTGGGGATCTCAGCAGGGGACGGTGGGACGAGCTCCACCCGGGCATAGTACCAGAAGGTCGCTAGTCGGGGTTTGGAGTATGTGACAGCGGCTGCAAGAGATACGGACTGTTTTAGGAATAACATTAGCTAATGGGAAGCAAAGCCAAGACCCACTGTGCCGCCTCGCATTTCTCTAACAACTACACATAGAAAAAATGGATAAATAACAGCTCTGTAAACCTCGCTGCAGTGGTGGATTCACCTGAGCTCACCGTACCAGAGGTGACACTGACAGGTTGTACAGGTGTTAACGAGCTGTAACAACGTGACCGAGCTGGCGCTGTACGCTTTATTGAGCTGCCTCCGTTTATAATTGGTAAAGAAAACAGTACAAAAGGCCAGTAAACTTACCACCAACTAAAGTAGGCACTTTTGCAATGAGTTTCTGCACCGCCTGCGCCATGGTGAACAGAGCCCAGCACACACAGGAGAAGAGGAACGAGGAACAAATGCTGCGTGAGAAGGTTTCCGGGTCGTTGATTTCAAAATAAAAGGAAGTTAGATGAAATGTATGTTGCACTTTCAAAATAAAATGGCTTCAAAGCATAAGATAAACTTCTAAATCAGACAATGTGCGTATTTTTTGAGGCGCATAATTGATTTGGACCACTTCTTTTGTAGTGTGAGTGTAGCCATACAGAAGCTGAAAGACAAACTGGACCATCACGTACATTATTTCATGAAGCAGAGTTATTGAATAACCAAAGCAAAGCAAATGTATTTGTATAGCACCGGCAAAGAAATGCACAATATTTAAAAACACACTAGAGAGATCAATTAAAAGCACAGAAGAAAGGTACAGTTTTTAGATTTAGATTTAAAAGAGACAAATTTCAATCAAATTGAGTCAGTAAAGTGGCTTATTAGATAGCCTTGTGCCATAAAGATCCCTACAAAATGTTTATTTCCACCGTTTCCCATAAACCCCTGTTTAGGGTTAGGTTTGACATATAGAGCACACAAATTTTTTTCAATACAAGACTGCCTTGAGGATGACATCCAATTATATAAAGATGGGAAAAATGGGTTATAATAGGATCTGTATTTGCGTGGGTGTGAGAGGAAGAAAGAAGTAAAAGAGTGTGTCTAACTTCTCTATGTGCATGTGTGTGCGTGTACTTTGTGTGTGTACTTTGTATGTGTGTGTGTGACATGGATGACTAAATCATTACTCACTCTCCTCTGACTCACCCTGCTGCCCACATTTAAACAAAAAACTGGTGCAGTAACAATGTACAAACAAGAATGTGGGTTAGATGTAGAATTTCCAGGCAAACACCCAACTAATGGTGCCATCTGTTCAAGTTACACTGTTAAAACAGGTTTAACTGCATAGATACATTTCACTATGGTTGAAATAATTGTATTTGTCCATTAAACTTAAACTTACACGTGTGAGAACACACCGTAATTACTCCTAGTTTACCAAGAATATCTCAAAATTGAACAGTTTGCGGAGAGCTGTGGCAGTGTTAAGAGGAAATTTGACAAGTTCTGTGATAACTCATAGAACTTCATAATGTTTCACTAGCTTGCCTGGTGTAGTAGACGGGTAGTGTAATCAGGATAAATCACTAGAGGGTGCTCTCTAATAGGTTACAATACCAAACAGAGAGAACAAGAAACTGTCTTTGCTTAAAACTCCACAAATACAAGGAACTACCTTGGGTAATGCAAAAGCATTAGTTGATGTTTCTTTTAGGATTTACAATGCTGTAAATAAAATATCTTCGCCTTGCCTCATGGGGGAGTCCTTTATCTCTGAATGCCAATAGAGCCTTTGGTGGTTTCATCATTACAAAGTCATGGTGCTTAGACAAACATTGTTAGAACCCACAGAACTTTATTTTGAGTTAAATTCAAATTGCCAGAATTTCCAGAAATACCAAATACATCAGCCCGAACTATGGGAAATGTCATCAAACGAAAAAAGGCTTCCATGAAAACGTAAAAAAAAAGTGTGACAGTCATTCAAAGCATTTTCAAGCAGAAGCAAAATACAGACAGGAATGTGATATTGTCAAAGAATATGGAAAAAATGTTATGCTAACTTTGAGGCTATTAAAGGCTTTATTTGGAATGTTAATAATAGTGAACAGTATCAGTGATGTACTGCAACCTACAGGACAAATCACAAGATCACTCTAACTTCTGTAATGTAAATATGAGGCTACAGTTAGCTTAGCATAAAGTTTCAAAGAAGGCGAAAAACAGCCTGGCCCTGTCCAAAGGTTAAACAATAACAAATTAAACAAAAACAATATAATAGTCAGCTTTAGAGGTTCTGGTAAGAAGATTCTGATTGGACACCAAACAGGCTAGCTGTCCTTTCATGTCAAGCCAATTGATTTCTTGCTCCTTTTTATTTTTTTTAAATACATTTTTCTATGAGTGGGTCCCTATTTTGTTTATCATTCAATTCAATTCAATTCAATTTTATTTGTATAGCACCAATTCATAACAGAAGTTATCTCAGGACACTTTTCAAATA